GGCTAGCATCAGGGACTTGTGGGCTAGCATCAGGGACTTGTGGGCTAGCATCAGGGACTTGTGGACTAGCATCAGGGACTTGTGGGCTAGCATCAGGGACCTGGATTTGATACGGGCAGCCAGAGGTAACCAGTGGAGTTCAATGAACTCGATCTGAGGTCTGAGTCTCTTTTATCTAAATCACTTCTGCCGGGCGGCTTTGTTCCAGATGAAACGCGGAGGATGTTGTGTCATGAGCTTTAGCGAGCGCTAGCTAACTCTCTCTGACCACCTTCAGGGAGCTTCCAAATCCGTTTGATCCTGAGGCATCAGAATTAAAAGCTAACTGGAGCCTGACACGGAAAAAAAAAGGCTCACGTCGGCACTTTGATTTGGAAGCTGTTTGTAGGTTTGATTGAACAGAAGCTAAGAATGTGTGACTCAGCGGATTGTTTCTGCTCCCTCACCCACCCGGTTAAGCATCAGGGGGGTATTTCCATTTATTATGTATAAATAAATAAAAAGTATAAGGAGAAAAACAGATCAAAAAAGGGTAGACATGAATGTAAATGTAGATAGATAAGTAGAGATCATGTTAGACATTCTGTTAGGCCAATTCTTTAGTTGGAATCCTGAGAATAAACCCGAGTGGATCAACTAGATCTAGTCCTATTGGCCAGTTACTTCTCGGCAGGAACAGGCCAGGTCCTAATTCATGCAGATGACAGGAATGTGCTAACAATGTGTTGAGCTTAAAGACGAGTATCTGCTGTAACAGAGAAAAGAGAATCTGTGGTTAACACCGGAGTTTAGCTCTAAAAGGAATAAAACAATCTGTAATTTACATAGATCATGTAGCATGCTATGCTAAAGTGAGTAATTATAGCCAAATGCTAACAGAAAGAAACACGTCGGTTTTGGTGTTAACATCTGTGTACAGATTCAGGCTTTTTAAAAGTGATTCTCCAGGTTTTCTTCTGCTGTTTCTGACCATTTTTCGTCTTTGTTTGCTTTACAGCGTACGGCTAATCTGTAAATCATTCAAGCATTTAAAAAAAAACAGACAACAGAGCAGATGAACCATCTGTTGAGTTACTGTTGCATCTTCACATAATTAGCGGCCTGTCACAACCATCAGATGTGCCTCCATGAGGGGGGGGGGGTGTCCAGAAGCCAAATATGAAGGAAAGAAACAGGAGGAAAGGCTGAGCTCTGCCAGAGGAAACAGAACTGAACACTAGCTCTGATGGAGGGATGGATACTCACTCCTGTAAGTGTTTTAATACACCAAAAAAGCAAAAGCAAGGCTAAAAATGACCATAAAAACAAAAAAAACTAGGCTAAATTGACTAAATATTCACCTAAAAGCAAAAACTAAGCTAAAAATGACCATAAATACAACAAACACCAAACAAAACCAAGGCTAAACTGACAAAATATTCACATAAACGCAAAAGCAAGGCTCAAAATAACCCCCAAAATACACAAAAAAACAAAAAGAAGGCCTAAATTGACCAAATATTCACGTAAAAGGAAAAACAAGGCTAAAAATGACCATAAATACATCAAAAACCAAACAAAACCAAGGCTAAACTGACAAAATATTCACATAAACGCAAAAGCAAGGCTCAAAATAACCCCCAAAATACACAAAAAAACAAAAAGAAGGCCTAAACTGACCAAATATTCACGTAAAAGCAAAAACAAGGCTAAAAATGACCATAAATACAACAAACACCAAACAAAACCAAGGCTAAACTGACAAAATATTCACATAAACGCAAAAGAAAGGCTCAAAATAACCCCCAAAATACACAAAAAAGCAAAAAGGAGGGTTAAATTGACCAATTATTCACCTAAAAGCAAAAACGAGGCTTAAAAGGACCAAATAAATACACCAAAAAAGCAAAAACAAACAAACTTTCGATACTTGAGTAGCAATTTTTCAAATACTTCTAA